TGAAGGGAGCTAGCCAGGGGACAGACTCAGGGAAACTCCAGTGACATTAATCTCTAAACGTGAAACCAGGGTAGATCTCGCCGCTTCCAGCCCAACTCCTCACCAGTGAGTCTTGGTTCATCTTTTTTGAGTTCACGCCAAAAGACGTTTCACTGTAAGGGCCTCTTCTGGGCTGGTGGAGCTCAAGAGATTCTCATTGAATCTCAAGCCCCCAAAATACAACTTCCTACAAGCCTTCAGTGGGTTTACTAAGCAGTGACTGTCAGAAAGGAAAAGAGAGAGAAGGAGGGGAGGAGGAGAAAGGGAGAAAAAACAAAGTTTTTCTGAAACTCTGGAGCTACAGCTTGTCTGATGACACCAAATGACTCAGGACAGACTGCTGTTTTCTTGTGAGGCAAGCGGTCCCTTTAAATCAAGTTTCCTGAAAGGGCACATGCCAAATGTTGCTATAGCAACTGGGTTAGAGGCCAAGAACCAACCAGCACTTCCCTCAAGTCTCCAACTGGGCAAAGGTGAGTCGTGGGTAGAACAGTGTGCCAGGAGCACCCAATGCCCCAGAGTAGACCCAGGGCCTCGTCCTGGAGGGGCATTTTAACTAAACACAAAAATTAATTTGGGGGAAAATGCTGAAATCAAAAGAGGGGATACCATTAAGAAAAAATTAGAGGTGGGGGAGGCTTGTCTTTTGAAAGAAAAAAGATCCCCCAAAATGTTGATGGGGAATTTGTCAGGACAAAAGTCCCCTCCCACATCCAGGGACACCCAGGAATGGAGGGCGGGGGTGCGTTGCAGTCCTCTGCCTCTAACATAAGATTGTGAATGGCACCAGGAAGTGGGTGGGCGGGGTGACCAACTGGTTTGGCATCGGTAGAAAATGCTATGTGCGAGCTTTTCAACATCACACATGGTGTTGATTATTCCTGGGCTGACAAGAGAAGACACGAGGACATTTCCCTGAAGTGAAATGTTAACAAGATAAATAGGCTTATCAGGCTCTGGCCTAAGATTAGGATCAGGATAACCTTTCAAGATTGGCTAAGAATTAATTAGAAAAGCGTTTTCAGTACAGTTATCTTCTTTGATGTGGTTTAACTGAAATCCCCATCTTGCTGCTCTCATCAACTTAATATATTTATTGTCTTGGGAGTGAGAGTCCACAGCTGCAAGTTTGGATAGCCCAATCAAAGATGTCACCTCAAACTTCCAGAGCCACACTTAAAGCCCGAATGACTTGACTAGAACGCCATCCCTGTCTGGTGTCCCAATTGGCAACAGCAGTTAATGCAAAAAAACCAGCAGTCCTTTTTTTTTTTTTTTTTTTTTTTTCCGTTGTCCGGCCCCCTCACTGTTGTGGCTTCCCCCGTGGCAGAGCACAGGCTCCGGACGCGCAGGCTCAGCGGCCATGGCTCACAGGCCCAGCCGCTCCGCGGCATGTGGGATATTCCCAGACCAGGGCACGAACCCGTGTCCCCTGCATCGGCAGGCGGACTCTCAACCACTGCGCCACCAGGGAAGCCCCCAGCAGTCTTTGAGTATACAAATCATAGTTTGTACCCATGATTCTGTTAATTGTACATAAGGTGGACTTAAGAGTTTGGACTTTGTAGAAATGACAAGTCACTCTGCACGTCTAGGGATAGGTAGCAAGAATCTTGGGTTCTCCCATAAGGCAGGACTGCCTTGAAATCCTGGCTCTCATACTTGTTAACTGTGTGATCGTGGACAAGTTACTTAACACCTCTGTGCCTCAGTTTTCTCTTCTGCAAAATAGAGATGGTAATAACGGTGGTACCTAAAAGACTGTCAGGACCAAAAGAGAGAACGCATGCAAAATAGTACATAGAAAGTGCTCAACATATAATAGCTGTCTGGTATCTCTTTTTGCCCCACTCCCGCTATTCCTATTAAATAATAAAATACCAGAGGAGATGATTAAGACTCAGCTCTAAGAATCATTTCTTCTCTAACACTCGATGAATGGTTCATAAAGTTGACAAATGTTCTGATCAGCCCTGGAAAAAGGAGCAGGGTGTTCTGGGGCCAGGGGTGAGAGTCCTAGAATTTACACAGGCGAACATGCCACATGGCATCAGGTAGAAGCAGGCTGAGTGCCAGGAGGAGCCAGCTGGGTCTTCAAGACCCAAGTGACCCTGACCCTCAGCAAAGAGCTACACAGCAATTAGTTATCATCTTTTATTTACTCAAATACATTTACAGGTGAATCCAGCAAGTTAAGTCCCTCTTAAACTCAGTTCACTCCTTGCATTCCATCCATCCTCCAGGTATCTGCTGAGAGCAGGGTTCTCTGCTTAGTTCCATAATGGAGTAGAACTGAGTCACCATTACTTACATGTCCAGCCCAGTTGGGACCCTTTTGTCAGTAAGTCAATGAGGCATCCTTCAGATTCCATGACTTCTGTTTGGGAAGGAGGAACACAGGCAGTAGTACCAATAGAATATTTTCCTCAAGTCAGACACCCAGAAAATTGAATTAGAAAAGAAGGACAAGAAAAAAATTGAATTAGAGAAAGAGGGTAGTAGGGAAGATAAAATTGGAGACAGACAGCCAAATGCTTCCCACATCACTGGAAGGAATCAAACACGTGAGAGCCCATGGCCCAGGTGGATAGGCCCTCAAGTGTTTGTCCCTGCTGAATCTGAAGGGTAATGGAACGGAGAGTCATCTTTCATGGATAGCTACTCAGAAGTCTGCTCAGTGCTTGAGTCCAAGGAATTAGAGGGCTGGCAGATCACACAGGATTTGAGGATCAAGAGATAGGTTTCCTTGAACTTCTTTATTTTATAAGCATAGACGATAGGGTTCATCATGGAGTTAGCATGGGACAGCAGGATGCCCAAGTAGAGCACAACTTGTGGTACTTCACCATTAAAGTAGATGACACAATTGATGATGGATAAAGGCAGCCAGGACAAAGCAAACAAGAAAAGAACCAGAAACAGAGACTTGGCTGTCTTGAACTCCCGTCCGTAAAATGCACCTGTCTCTTTGGAGTTAGAAAAGTTCTGATTGAGTTTGTTCCGGATGACATAGAAGATGTCAAGGTAGATGGCACACATGACAACCAGGGGAATGAAAATCCAAGTGAAGAAGCTGAAGTAGACCATGTAGTCCATCCTCATTACGGAACGGAATTGGCAGGAAAGGAAGGTGAGATTTTTGTGGTACTCTGAGTTCAGTTTCACGTTCCAGCCAAACATGGGAGTCAATCCCACCAGGAATGACACCAGCCAGCAAAGGCCCAGAGCCACCCATATTCTTCTTTGAGTGGTGAACCTCTTGTATCTGTTGGAATGGAAGAGAGTCGGTGAGTTCACAGCAGGAATTGCTAATGGATGGGGGGAGATGGAGCTGGAGGGTGTTGGTATTCTATGGTGATTTCAGCTAAACTCTACTGAATATGAAGACAAGATGAGCAGACAATGATTAGAGAAAAATACAGCAAAGTTCTCTGGGAACTTTTCTAAAGAAGTACAACCTCCAAAGCAACAGGAGTACGTTGCCTAGAGTCAGGGGCTTGTGTACCCCATTCACAGTTCCATTTCCAGCCCAAGAATTCTTCAGTCCCTGGGGGGTAAGAGTTATCGATCAAAGTCTCCTGGGATCGCCTTACCTGGGGAGAAATAATCTGCTCAAAGCATGTTTGCCTGCTGTGCTCTGCACTGTTTTTGTTTGTTTGTTTGTTTTTTGGCTGTTGTGCTGCTGTCCATAAATTAGACTCTGCCTGTCCCACACTTACCACCTACCTGTGTCTGCCTCTGCTTCTCTATTTGCACCACACTTGGGGTTTGAGTTAGACTCCACTCTCATGGAGTTGCAAACGTCATGTTGAGGTGCTTCCAGGACCTTAAAAGACTCATCCAATCAAAAGTCACCATTTCTCCTTAAACCATTCTTCCTGACAACATTCTACATAGGCTATAAGAAGGAAGCAGATTTTAAGTACTGGCTATGTACTCAGTAGACTTTCTCTCAATAAAATCTCATGATAAACTGGAGATATTTTTATGACAATCTCCATTTCATTGATGGTAATGGTGAAAATCATAGTAGTTACAGCTACCATTTACTGAGCACAGACTGTGTGCTGGGCATTTTTCTAAGAACTTTACGTGTATTAACTCATTTGATCTTATGGGGAAGGTACAATTATCATCCCCATTTTATAGATGAAAAAAATGAAACAGACAAGTTAATCAACTTGTAGAAGCCAAAAGTGTTGGAGCTAAAATGGAATGGAGGTGAATCTGAGTTCAGAGCATCTTAACACTGTGATGAGGGACTGAGACACAGAAAGCTAAATAACTTGCCCAAGATCAGGCCTCAAGATCTCGGACTTGAACCCAGGCTCGTTTGTATCAAAAGTTGTCTGTAGCTCCCTCACCATGCTCTTTCCCCAAGAGAAGAGAGGAGCAACAAGATACCAATGTAATTCAGGACACCTGGGGAATTCAATTTCTTCATTTGGCAATCTGTTCTGTTCACATGGTCACCTGAAAAGTTTTTACTACTTTCTGTAATGGAGAACTTTTGTGGTCCCCTTCTCAACATGGAAGAGGAAACAAAATTAAAATAACTTTAAAATAGCCTACATTTGCAAAGAGAAGCACCAGTTTATCTCCTTCTTTTCTCTCTGCTTATCTTATCATCTAGTATGTTTCTATCATTTCTAAAAGTCAAGAGCATTTTTCACTAATTAAAGATGCATCGAGTTTTTATCATCTTTAGCCCCCCAGGGTATTGAGCATATACTCCTGTAGTCAGTGGGGAGGGATTGGAGCGTTCCTCTGTTTCTAGTTCCCAAGTCTCTACTCATCGTTGTTAAACCCTTCACACACCAAGTGGTGAAAAGAACCTCTTTCAAGCTCAGAGGCCAATTTGGATTTGTTTCCACTCAAAAAGTCTGAGATCTGGAGGTTGTAGCCCCATTTCCCAGGCACCTCTATCACTGCCCCACACCACCCCTCTCCAAGCAAGTTACCTGACCGTGAGCTTGACCCGCAGGTATCGGTCCACGGCAATGGCTAGCAAGGACATGATGGAGGCGTGGGTGAAGATCAGCAGCAGGCAGGTCATGAGAAGGCAGCTATGAAAGTGGATTGTGACACCCAGGCTAATGACAATGGCCAAAGGCATGACCAGCACCCCGACAGCAATGTCAGCCAGGGCTAGGGAGACAATGAAATAGAAGGTGGTGTTCTGCAGGCTGGGGTTCAGTTTGACCACCCAGATGACCAGCACGTTGCCCACTATGGCACAGAGCCCAATGAGAATCTCCACAGTGATGTAGGTAGCATTGGCCAAGGACACGGCAGTGCTGTTGACAGGCATCTCGCTTTCCAGGTGTAGCCTCCCAGGTGACATTTGTGCCAACAAGATCCGTGTGGACCAGTCAGCCTAGCTCTTGCCAGACATCTCGCCAGAGGTCCAGGTGCAGCAGCCACAATCCAGAACTCGCAACTCGCCCATTCCTTCTCTTCTCTGTTGGAATCCCCTCTCCCCCGCTCCTTAGAGACAGTCCATCACAGGGCCATCACTTTCAGCCCCAATGCAGGCCGTACACCCCTGGGCTCCCAGAAGCCTGGAGGACAGTTCTATGTGGGCTGAAAGTGAAAATGCTGCTTCTGTTAGTTCCCCTGCCCCTGGAGGGCTACTTAAGCTCCATCAAGACAAGCAATGCTCTTCAGTGGTGTTTCAGGAAGTGAGATGGGCCAAGAGGAAGCACAGAGCCAGGAACACTCAGCAAGAAGATGGAAAGAATGAGGGCTGGGTGGGGGTGTGTTCATAGCATGGAGAAGACTCAGCATTCATTTACTCAAGGACTAGATAAGAACGTCACTCTGGGTGGGAGAGGAGCTGGGAGCACTGACTACGTAACATTCTGGCTTTCTGATAGCTTATCAGAAAGATCGCACAGTAAGGAGGCAAGCAGAACCCACAGAAGAGAAAGAAATAGACTTTGGTGGCAGGCTCCTAAACTTAGCCAGAATGTACTCTTTCTAAAGAGCACACTCCATAGACTGACTGTGTCCCCCCAAAACTCATAGGTTGAATTCTGACCCTCAGGTCAAAGTAGTTGGAGGTGGGGGCTTTGGGAGGTTATTAGGTCATGAGGGTGGAGCCCTCATGAATGGGATTAGTGTCCTTATAAGAGGGACTCCACAGAGCTCCCTTGCCCCTTCCACCATCTATGTACGAGGAAGTTGGCTCTCACCAGACACAGGTTCTACTTATGCCTTGATCTTGGACTTCCCAGCCTCCAGAAATGTGGGAAATAAATCTCTCTTGTTTCTAAGTCACTTAGTCTTTGGTATTCAGTTATATCAGCCCAAAGGTACTAAGACAGCTCATAACAGTAAGGACTGAGAATTTGGCCACATGAGTTGACTCTGCTGGGGCATAGCTGGAACACAGCCTTTGTATCAAAGATCTTTTGCCAAAGAGACAAACTAAGATTCCCTGTTCAGATGAGCAAAACTTCAGCACCTCCCGTAAGCATCACATCTGCTGACCCTCATCTTCCCTTCTCAGCCCACACACCCACCATGCCCTCACACTAGCAACCAGCCTGTGTCAAATCTATTTGAGGGACAACAGGATGACCAGCCATGCAGAAAGAAAGGAAAGGGCAACATGTACACATGATCACACAGCATACCTCCTGCCCTCTGGCCCCAAGCCCCACCCCTGCCCTGCAGGAACAGCCATCTACCTGAAAATCAGACCCTCTCCCTGAAGTTGCTCACCTGGAAACTCCTGGGAATCAGACACTTGAATGCAATTTTTATTTGGAGTCCCCCTGGTTCAGGGGTTTCTCAGTGCCGCCCAAAAGGGTTATTTAGAGAGACAGCAAAAGGAACAGTTGGACCTAAGCCCACACTGTGGATTGAAGGGTTGATAATACTTACCTCTAAGCACCAATCTATGTAGAGCCAAAAAATAAAATTTGACGATCACAGGAGTGCTGTTCTGGTGTTTACTAACAAACACCTCTCACTGGGGCACTGGCGAGATGTCTCAGCATGGGGCCTGCCAGGGTCTTCTTTAGTTGCTCTGCTTCGGCATCATCCGTCGACACCCCTACCCCCCCACTGCCCACCCCCACCGCATCCCAAGTCTGTCTGGTGTGCCTTGCTAATCCCTGCTAGACTTGCTCAGGGAAATGAGCCAACTCCCCAGACATTAAGTGGCAGTCCTCTCCAACTGCATTTCTGTCGCTCCAGCATTTTCCAATGTTAGCCGTGCCCACATCCCTGCACCTTGGGAACATGAAAGGTGTCACCAGCCTCCAACGTGACCTCTCATAAATGTCTCTACTGCAGCTGCTCTCTTTATCTCTGCTCGGGAGAAGGAAGACATAGAGAGCAATTTCTAGGAGGCTGTGTGAGACCGAAACAAGTCCTTCTCGCTATAAAGCCGTTGTTGAATCTTGGTAATTCACTGCCAACAATGTACCCTGGCTCCCGACCCTCAGCCACCCAGTAGCACCAAAACCTTGTGGGAGAGAAAGACCCTCTGGGGTAGCAATGAGTCGTGTTGCCTGGCTGTGGTGATGGTATAGCTAAGGAACATTTTTCCTGGAGGGTTTGGTAACCCCGGGTCTGCCTGGGGTGCCCGAGGACAGAGCGAGTGGGCTCATGGCAGAGTGGAGCACAGACAGCTGCTCTGTGTTTGGGAGCTGGGCAGACAGTGGACAGTTCCTGCATTTAAAGAAAAAAGCCTGTGGCCCTTGTGCAGCTGTGGGCCAGAAGCCTGGGGGAGGGAGAAGGAGGTGGAGGCCAGGGAAAGTCCCTGAACCACAGATCCGTCCTACCGGAAGTGAGCCGAGCTGTTAGGGATGGAAGTGACAGCGGGAGCTGGAAACCCGACTGGTGTGTTTTTTCAGATTCCAGCCTAATTCCCCTCCTTTAAGACCCAGGTGAGTCCTCCCAGAATCAGCCCATCTCATCTGGGTTAGAGAAACCAAGTCGAAGGGTTTTGCTCAAGGACCAGTCACAAGGGCAGCGTGGTGGGGATAGGATAGCCTGTGAAGCTGTAACCCACAGGAACAAGGAGAGACAGGGGACACACTTGGTGCCACCGACCCAGCCACCGCCTCCCCCCCGCCTTCCCCAGGAACTGTTCCCAGAATCCTCTGCACAAACCTGGGGCATTTCCTCTCCATGAATAAAGGAAGCCCTTCCTTTATATTTTCTGAGAAGACAGAGCCCATCGATACTCAGGGGGCTGATGTGAGGGGTGAGGAGGAAGGCTTTCACAGCCACTTAGCATTTTGGTGTAAGACGGGGGGCCCTGAGTGTCCTTTTCATTCTAGACCGAACACCAAAGGGCAGCCAGGGAAAGAGGACAGAGAAACCAGGAGGAATGGTCCCCTTTCCCCATCCCCCCAACCCAGTCCACAGCCACTCTTAGTCAGGGAACTGCCCTCATCACCTCTGATCCCCCTAACCCAGCCCCAGGTGCAGCCTCCATGTTGCCCCCGCGATCAAGTCCAGACTCCTCGGAATGGCGTTGGAGACTCTCTGTGAGGGGGTCTCCCAGCCCCTGCAGCCTCCTGTTGCCTGGTTCATCAGGAAACCATAAGTGCCACTGGGCCACATGTCCCGGGGCTCAGAGCGAGCTCTTTCACTTCCTCTCACCTACGCACATGCTTCTTTCTGGCTAGGAAGGCCCTTCTCCTGTGCATCCACACAGAAAACAAGCACTTTTCCTTCTAGATACTTCTCAAACTGAACCTTGAAGAAAAACTTGCAGACCCCACCCGCCCCTGTCCCATGCTGGGTTTATATAATCCCTCCCCTGTTATTCTTTGAGCTCCTGGAAGGCAGGGATCTCCCCTTTTCATTTCTGCATTTCTATCCCCTACCACAATGCCTGGCAGCTACTAGGTGCTCAGAATATTGACAAATGAATGAGTAGGAACCTCAGTGAACCAGGGGGCATAGCACTGGGTATAGAATACCAGCAATCAGCTAGGACCTGTGAAGCACTTTCCATTATACCAGCTGCTGTGTTGAGCATTTTATACATCTGATCTCCTTCGATTCTCTCTGATGAAGTAGATACTGTCATTACTGTTGAGGCTCAGAAGGGTTAAGTAACTTGCCCCCCGGGGTGCAGAGCTAGGAAGTGGCAGAGCTGGCATTCAAACCCAGGTTCCTGGCTTCGGTAAATGCATAAGCAAGAAGGGCTTGGGCCCCAAGGGGATCTCTGTACCAGAAAGAAAACCTTTTGTTGGACCAAGGTGCCCCACACACAAAAAATTTAATAATAAAATAAATTATAAGTGAAACGTGGCTCAGCAGATTTTCCCATCTAAAAGAAAGCCCATGTCTGTTTAGGTTCTACTGAAAAAACCTGAAAATATGGAGGAGGGAAGGGTCTGGGAGGAACCATGAGCCTGAATCAGAGAAAAAGCAACCGGAGTCCTAGGGAAAGGCCTCTCGTGTCCCAAACCCTGGCCTGGAGCCTCCGTGGGCTGAGGCAACTGGACTCAGATCAACTGCAAGGCCACAATCTGGCCCTTGGGCTTCTGCTTAAAAGCCTAAGAGCCCGGCCAGAGATGGTTCATCTGATCCTTTGCAGCTTCTCGGAAAAGCCTGGGAAATCCCAGCACCCAGCCTGCAGCAACAACAAGACACAGTGTTAGCAGGGGCCCAAGGAAAGGACTCTGCAGCCCCAGAACTGGTGCAGGTGGCTGCTGAGACAGGATGTCAGGCAGGCGGAAGGTGCTGGCTTCTGCCAGGGGCTGGCTCTCACTGACTCGACTGCTGCCTGCAGAGTTGCACAAAATCGTTTTGCTCACTTCCTCTTGGCCCCATCACCACTTCCCCAAAGATTTATATTTTTATAGAACTTGATGCTTGCCAGCCAGCAGCAGAGGCTTAGAAAGAGCAAGCGCCCAGAGTCCCTCCAGGACGGTGGTCTGCTCTTACTCCCCCTCTGCCAGCCCCCTTTCCTTCTCTGCCTCTCAATCAAGCCAGAGGGAGGAGGCTGTGCTGATCTGGAGCCACTGTCCCCAGGGGGCTTCCTACTAGGACTTCAGCTGTGACCAAGGAGCCAGGGACTCCCTATAGCCTGACTTCAGCAGAGACTCACTTAGAGCCAGTGTGATGGGGGAGGAGAGAGGTCAAGGTTCCTTCACTCTGAGCAACAGGAAATCCTGCCCAGCCAAGGGGAACTGTCCCTGGCACCTACGCCCCACCCACCAGACCCTCCACCCACACTGAGTGTGTCAGAAGGCCTCTGGGCTCTAGTGGAGAATCCAGAGAAGGGTTCAGCTAACTATATTTATTCCAGGTTCTAGGCACTTAGGAAGTGAGGAGGTGTTCCAACTACCGGAGTCTTAGCAGGTAAGAGGCTTTTATTCCTGTGTCCCTGTTGGGGCGCTATGTGCAGGAGTGACCACCAGGTGGCAGCACATTTCCACTGCCACTCAGGGTGCAGGCTGAGCAATAAAATCCCTGAGAATTTAACAGCACAGTCTCCGAGCACCACCTAACCAGCCCCCTCAGATCGCGCAGAAAAGGAAAGAGAGAACTAAGGGGAAGGGAGACACAGAGAGACTGCCATCTGCCTAAATTCAATCCGATCCCAAAGAGTATTCCTGGGCAGTACCAAATTCCATCCTCTTGACTCAAGGGGCTGAGAAGCAGCTTCTCCTTTTAAACCCGTGAGTGTTCCAGTAAAAACAATATTTGGTGCCCTTCATAGCGTGCAAAACTCCTCACACGGTCCACGTCAGTAAATGAACACAACAACCCCGCAAGGTAGGTATCATTCGTCTCATCTCCCAGCAGAAGAAACTGAGGCAGAGAGACAGCGGGATCTACTCAAGGTTGCCTATCTGGTCAGAGGCAGTGTGAGGATGGAGCCATCTCTGGCCTCCTTGACTAGGGGGCGGGGCACAGAAACCACCCGGGGAGGTCCTACCAGGATGTTTCGCTCCCTATGCCTGTGTCACCAGGCCCTCCCTCGGTGCCTGCCAGTCTCTGACCTGTCCTCTCCCTTCT